GTTTGTTTATGATTGTAAAGGCTACACCCAGTTTGTTTATGAGTGTAAAAGGCTACATCCAATTTGTTTATGATTGTAAAGGCTACAACCAGTTTATTTATGATTGTAAAGGCTACACCCTGTTTGTTTATGATTGTAAAGGCTACACCCAGTTTGTTTATGATTGTAAAGGCTACACCCAGTTTGTTTATGATTGTAAAGGCTACAGCCAGATTGTAAAGGCTACACCCAGTTCGTCAATGATTACAAAGGCTACACCCAGTTTGTTTATGATTACAAAGGCTACACCCTGTTTGTCAATGATTGTAAAGGCTACACCCAGTTTGTTTATGATTGTAAAGGCTACACCCAGTTTGTTTATGATTGCAAAGGCTACACCCAGTTCGTCAATGAGAACAAAGGCTACACCCAGTTTATTTATGATTGTAAAGGCTATACCCAGTTTGTTTATGATTGGAAAAGCTACACCCAATTTGTTTATGATTGTAAAGGCTACACCCAGTTTGTCAATGATTACAAAGGCTACACCCCGTTTGTCTATGATTGCAAAGGCTACACCCAGTTTGTTTATGATTGCAAAGGCTTCCCAGTTTGTTTATGATTGCAAAGGCTACACCCAGTTCGTCAATGATTTTTTCAAACAATTGCAAAGGTCACACACTGAAAACCTACCTTAATTCCTTGTGTAGGCTTGATTTGTAACAGGATTCAAGTCATGTGATTCAGATCCAGAAAGACATGGCCAGAGTATGAGATGAATACTTTCGTTTTAAATTTATTTTATTATTGTAACATAATTATGATAGCCTTTAAAGGTACTATTGAACTTGATTTCAGAGAGACCTAAAAGTGCCAAACAGAAAGCTATAGAAGATAAGATAATGTCTATAATAGCTAAAGAAATGAGTGATGAAGATGATGATAGTGATGATGAATTAGATGACAGTAAGCCATGTTTTATATTAATTTGATACTTCTTAGTCTAGTTTAGATTTTTAATCTTTTGTTAATCCCAAAAAGTTTTAAAATGCAATGAATGGAGTTTAATGTCCTACATTTCTGAACCTGATGCAGTGTTCAATGAGAAAAATTTGCAAGGAAAGCAGCATTAGCTCTGATTTTCCAACTGTTCAGAAGTCTTTTGCGTACACAGTCTGTAACACAGGGCCTCAGTTAATGGTCCTTACTGAACATTAATCCT